TGTTTCTTTTATGAATGTGGGTGCCTTTGTATTTGGGGCATAAATGTTCAAAATCGAGACTTCATCTTGGTTGATGTTTCCTGTGACAAATATGTAATGTCCATCCTGAACTCTTTCGAATGATTTTAGTTTGAAGTCTATTTTATTAGATATTACGATAGCTAGACCAGCTTGATTCTGAGGTCCATTTGCTTGGAAAGCCTTATCCCAGCCCTTAATTCTGAGGTAGCATCTCTTTGAAGTTAAGATGTGTTTCTTTAACTTCAAAGTTTAAAATCTTTAATCCTAGCACTCAGGAGGCAGAATTGGGAGGGTCCCTGTGAGATCCAGTACAGCAAGACCTACATTAGAGAGACCTTCTTTAAATTAAATGAAACAAACAAACAGAGTTAAATAGAAAGAAAAAGAAATGATCTTGGTCAAGATGGTAGGCATTGCTTCAAATAATGCCTCATAAGTCTGAGCCCTGAGAAATCAGTAACTTGCCAGAGATGACCAAGCATTAGAAAAAGTTGCATTATAATAAGCAGGCCATCTTTACAATTTTGCTTCAAACATCCAGGCACATAAATGCTGACAGCACACAACATTCAGACTGGAATTTAGAGACCTGCACTACAGCCTGGACAAAGAATGTTGACTTGATAATGGTTGGTGTGAAAATCCACTGAGGAAGAAATACCTTTTCTGCATCTTGAAACTCTCCAGGCTGGGCTCCAAATCACAAGACTGCCTATCTATTCCTCCCCAGTGATAGGATTACAGGCATGCATCCCCTTTTATGATGTTATTTCTCTTATTTTGGGCAGTATTATATAATTATACCATTTTATCCTTCTCTTATCTTTCTTCCATTTCAACACTCCCACATACCCCTTCTTGATCTCTTTCAAATTCATAGCCATTTTTTCAATAGCTGGCTTCACAGGCTATATATATAATCAGCATGTTTTTCCTATACTCCCTAAGCTCTAAACTATGAAATTATCAAATAAATAATAAATGCCACCACCATATAGGAACTAGGGATGTAGACTAGACTAACCCACAAACACTGTTTTTATAAGAAGGGCAGTTAGGGTGCTGTCATGGAGGCACAGGTCCTTAATCCCTGTACTGTGGAGGAAGAGATGGGTGGATCTCTGTGAGAATGAGACCAACCTGATGTACATAGTAAGTTCCAGGACAGCCAGAGCTATGTAGAGAGACCTGGTCTCCAAGGAAACAAGATAAAACAAAAAAGAAATAAACAGATGTAGCACCCACCAGGGACCTTCCGGCTCCTGCACATTTGTCCCTCATCCACTTTTTCTTTTTGGTTTTTTGAGACAGGGTTTCTCTGTATAGCTTTGGAGCCTTCCCAGGAACTCACTCTGTAGTACAGGGTGGCCTAGAACTCACAGAGATCCACCTGCCTCTACCTCCCAAGTGCTGGGATTAAAGGCTTGCACCAACACCACCTAGACCTCATCTACATTTCTATTTGATACTCCGGAGACTTCCTCAAGCACCTTTAGGAATACCTAGAAGAAAATTAGTATTCTTGGGACTAGTGATGACCTCACTGTATTAAAAGAGTAAGCCAACATCTGATTGGTTGGATTAATAGGGGAATCTTTGGGATGAATCCTTAACTCTTAGGTGGGTCAAGGTCTGGGTTTCAGGAGGGAGTATATAAGCCAGAGCCTGGGCCATTCTTCACAACTACATTGGACAGTCATCTGCTTGGAGTTGCCTTACTCTGAAGTGGGAGAGCTCTTGTGATGAAAATGGATGCTATCAACGAGAATGCCTGGTGGACATTGCCTGAAAACTTTGATGCCCCACTTGTGACATTCATAGATGAAGCCCAGGAAGAGCACATATTTGGTGTAGTGGTAATGCCCGCATTACCGATATCTGTTCACCATGTGCGAGCGAAGGCCTGCGGATTAAAAAATAGAGACAAGAGACAGCGGGTCATCTGTATGATTGGATGTCGAATGCCGTTTATTGAAAGAGGGAAGAACCCTAAATACATACAGGCTTACAGCACAAATGGAGAAACCCCCGGAGGGCAGATGTTCGCTACCAATGGTCTACATTCCAGACCCAATGTTCTACATTCTTGCATCTAAGTTGTTAACGCCCCAAATGCAGGATACACAAACAAGGAACTTCGCTTAAGCATTCAGAAGGGTGGATACCGGCAGGGAATCTGAATAGGGAGGACATCTGATCGAGGTCAGCAAGCAAGGCCGCAGCCACTTCCAGTCTGGTGCCAGGGCCCATGGCGCCCACAGGTCCCCCCTTTTTATTAAATGAGCTTCTGACTTAGGTTGCGTGGGACCAGCAGACCACCTTACCCGTCATAGAGACACCTGCCCAGGCCACACAAGTGCTCTGTCTTAGGTTGATGGCCGCCCCCCAAGCATTACCCATCTCTGAATACTCATTATCATACAGACTCAACCATGTGA